GAAATTTTAAAGTAGGCAGAGTCCCAACTCGTACTGATGGCATTTAATCAAAGCTTTTTTTTTAAAATTCAACCAAACCCAAATTCAAAATTCAGTCAAATTTTCAAAAAAAGGCTCAGTCAAAAGTGGAAACAGAGCACGTTGAGAAAGAGAGAAAACTAAAGAAATAATCATCTATCGCTACGAATGGATCGAAAAGCAATGACAAGACCTAGAGAGGAATGCTAGGCGGGAAACAGGCTTGCCACCTTACAAAAGAAAATCAAAATTTTCAGAAAACAGCATTATATTTCGGGGAGCGGGGCCCTATTTCGCAAATGATATGAAGCGGTTGGGAATTGAGCCTCTCATGTTCACTGTCTTCGAACTTTTTTCATGCCATGAACGGAACTCTGTTTTGCAAATTGTATGAATCCGTATTGCTTGCAAAACAGGGTTCCCAAAACTGAATTTTCACTTGTCCGTACTTAAGTCCTAGGCATGCTTTAAAACTGAATATGAAATATTTCAGTCATTTATGAATCTTCGTAAAATTTCAGCTTTCTAATTTGATTGATTAGCGAAATCGCTTTTCGTTGCAAATATATTTGACGTATCAAAATACGTCACATAGATGCGCATGAGCGCATATTATGTGTCTACATACCCGCGTATGGGCAATAAATATTCTAGTGAAAAAAGCGTGCACAACTCTTTCTTATTCTTGACTTGGCATTTTGCCAACATTTTCTGTTTTACTTTCATCTTTGATATGTTTACATGCGTAACTTTTGATTGATGAATTTGAACTTTTTCACTCACACATGAGAAGAGAATACCCACATGACTTTTCAGTTTCATGTGCAGTTCTTGAATTCGTTTTCCCACCAACAAATTTACATGTTTTCTAGGCGCCCATACATAAAACTCAGGCATGCACGAACGTTAATTTTAAGCTGTTTCGGTGGCAGGAACATCCTTATGAAATTTCAGCTCCCTAGCTCCTACGATTACTGAGTTGAATGTGGGTGACAGAACTAAGCAAAAAAAAAAAAAAAAATGCCACACAGCTGTGCGAACGA